ACCTTTGGAAAACCTTTTTCTCCTCTGGGCTAGCTTAAGCAACTACAACAGATCTCAAGTATTACATCAGTCGAAATTCTAATACTTTTATTATAATTTGCAATTTAAAGTCAGAGTAAAACCGTCTGTGATCATAAACACCTATTTTTCTTTGGGTTACTGTGTGGACTGTTTGCAGTCTCAGAGCAATTTTTAAGGTTTTCTCTAAAGATGAGAAGAACCCAGAAATTATACTTAACATGCAATAAAGACAAGTAAAATGTTCTAGTATATGTTTCGATTAATTTCTTTCATTCTTTTTTTTTTTTTTTTTTTTTTTTTTAGGGAAGGGTCTGTACAGGGTGTTCTGGGTCTCACTACTAGACTGCACTAGTGATCTGCCTGTTTACAGCCTCCCAAGAGCTGGGAGTACAGACATGTGCCACCACGCCCAATCTCAATTGCCACCTTTGCATGCCCCGGAGGCAGGGCCAGCATGGCAGGCCTGGGGATTGAACCCCCAAGGCCCTGTGCCTGCTTGCAGGCACTTTAATCTGCTGAGCTATTCAGCCAGCCCAGTTTTGATTAACTTACTTTGCGGAACCAAGGATTGAACTCAGGCCCCTGCACTTGCCAGGGAAGCGCTTATTCTACTGATCCATCTCCCCAGCCCTTGATTAACTTCTGAAAAGCTTTTTTGTTCTACATTTTCAACACAAACGCTCTAACAAATGGTAAAAGAAAAGAGTTACAGACCTTGGAGAAATTAATAATAAGTGTATAAAAATGATTACTTTTCTCCATTCCCAACAAACACAACTTAACTAAATAAAACTTTCAACTGTAAGAGTTTAAACAGTCCTAACTGATGATTAGAACAAAAGCAATCGAGCAAAAACTAGAAGTATAACTGGCAAGCCATTAACAACAGTTAAAATGTGGGAAAGACAGTGTTAGGGAACATATCATTTCTAAATTATGCATTTCTTTCATATCAATGTCATACAATGACTACATGAAACTTTGATGATTTTTTTTCCTATTTGAGCTCCTTTACTGTTCATGGTTCATGGAATATTGGTGGGCTAATAAAACTGCTCACATACTCTAGGCAACAGTAAAAAAATGATAAGGTCCCAACATCTGTTAATGACTTTCTCCAAACTACAGTCTAATGAAGGACATGTACTCATACCCATACTATAACCAACATATGACCACAGCCTAGACTGCATGAGGACTATATACAAGAAGAGTCGCTTGTGATCTTCTTCAAAAGCCAAGAAAGAACTTGGGGAAAAGACGAAGTCTGACACTGGGCCAAGGGATGAGCCCTCTTGCAAAGTTAACAGTTGTAGCAATTTACAGCAACTGCTTATACCCCCCCACAGACAGACACCCTATCCCAAACACAACTTTACATACAAAATTAGTTGGAGCAGACAATACACACCCAATCCAGCTCCAAAAATAATTTACAAAAATATTTTTAAATCTAGTTCAAAATATGCTGTCATGAAATTTTTCTCACACCACCCAAGTTTTCTCCTATCATTCCAATATTGTTCCCTACAGGGGCTGGGGATACAGCTCAGTGGCAAAAGTGCCTGCCTGGCAAGCACAAGGTTCTGAGTTTGATCCCTGGTTCAGAGAAGAAAAAAAAAAAAATGTTCCCTTATACTGTTGGCGTGAATTTTGTGTCACTGTTACTCTGCATTTGTCACTGTACTGAAATGCCCATTGCTTTTTTTTCCTAAAGGTGGTAATTTTGATTCTATTAACTGTGTACATTTGGGAGCAAGACATCTATTTCTACTTTATCTCCCATAACACTCCTTAAGGGGCTGGTGAGATGGCTCAGTGGTCTAATGCACCTATTTAGAACAAACTAAGCTAAGCAAAACACAGGGACCATGGTTCAATCCCCCAGCACCACATGCCAGCCAGCCTCGCCCCCTGGTGGGCTGAGCTGGACACACACACACACACACACACACACACAAATAAAAAAATTAAAAAAAAAAAAAACTCCTTAAGTAAATGGGTACTTAACAGATGTTGACAGACTAAAACCTAGTTCTAATAGTTGTGATGATCATCAAAATCATAAAAGATATCTCTACAGCAGATATTATAAAATTGAATCAGTTTTATACACAGAACAAAGTACATCCAGATGAATAAATCTTACCCTGATGGCGAACCAACTGCTGCTCTTTGATGTACCTTGTTCAGAAATGTTTCATAAAAATAATTCTTAGATTACAGTATGTATTTCAACAACTTTTATAGAGCATTATCTTTTTCTGTCACTAAGACCCAAAATAAAGCATTTATTTGGTCACTAGAAAGGTATAAAGTGACACAGCAAATACACATAGAAATGGTGGACAGTTCAGTTCCCAAGGATCTCAAGGCACACCCTACGACTTAAGAAATGTCCTTCGATGGGTATATATAAAACCGTATTTAAGTTGTTCACATTAGCCTAAAACTGTAATTCTAGTTTCTCAGGAAGCTGAGGCAGGAGGACAGAAAATTTGAGGCCAGCCTGGAACACCTAGCAAGACCCTGCTTAAAAAAAAAAAAAAA